TCCGGTCATCTGCTACACGAGGTACGTGCAAATTCTCAAAGAACGATTGTTGCGCAACCATAAGCATTGACAGGTGGGAATACCACATATTCGCCGCTTATGGCCTCGTTGGCACGACACCTACCACAGTACAACACCAAATAAGACCCATTGCCCACTGTCAAACATACGGTTTTACAAAACAGTATTCGCATTGTTTTGCAAATGTCCACGACATAGCATGGCTGTCATCCAAGTACTCAACTACTTGTACATACCGTTGTGTACTCTGCTGTGGCCATAATCTATTTGCATCTGCATCGTACTTCTCGAGTGCAGCCATTCCATGATCCTAAAACGATTGTCGCTATGCGCCGAATTCTTTCCGATGTAATATACCAAGACACTGACGTACCATTTCCGTTGGGTTTAACCTTTTTCTTAGTCTATCCAGAAGATCGCGCGCGTCCAATTCAACTTCTGCTAGGCGTCTCTGTGCTTTCGCCTTCAAGCCGCTTAATACTTGCGTTTTCATAAGCCCCGGGAAATTCAGTATGGCTGATGAACAACGGGAAATATAGCTATGCTCACTCGCATCACTAACCTGTGGCGCGGAAAATGTACCGACGACATCATGATAACTATAGTCAGTTAATTGTCGGGATGGTTCACTTGCCACAGAATTTCCGGGGTATTATCTCTTCGGATACATAGTCCAGCGTGGTCACACGAGGGACAATCGTTTAGCATTGTGTTCTAAATGTCAAACATTACATTTTATGCGGCCAAGAGCTGGTAACCTTTTGATTCAAGCGTATCCATCGAATCAGAGACATGCTCAATGATTTGCCACCCTAGCATTGATCCGTATCAACAACACAATTCGCTCGGAAAATCCGCGCACATCTCAAATAGGAATGAGCTCATAGATGGACTAAGCATTAACATGCGATGGTGGATTAATCAACAAAATATTACAAAATTAGCAGAACTCCTTGTATGAGAAAGGAAATTTAGTTCAATGCAGTCTGTTTTCAATGTGATCACTAATTTGTTTCACAACCACTTGCAAGCGAACCTTTACATTTGTCACAATCTTCCTGCAAGTCTTCCGAAATCAGACGGCACAACTGCATGATGAGAGCCATGAGTTGAGGTGCACTTGTAGGTTTCCTTGCGAAGGCATTATCTTTCGAGCTGCCCCATAAGAAGAAATCCCATGGATTGATGTCAGGGTTATACGGGGGACCACTGTCGCCCACTTTGGTGACGTTCACGAAACCGACGTGACATTAGCCGCCCACCAAACATGTCATATAGATCATCAAGAACAATATTTGCAGTGTATGGGCGGGCTCTGTCTTGCATGAACCATTGAGTTTTTAATGGGAGACCTAGTGCCAAGAGTTCTGGTAGAAACCTGTTTTCCGCCATGCCCCTATATCGATCTTTATTTACCGTCTCATCAAAAGAAATAGGGTCCGATGATTCTATGGGATGAAACCACTGCTCATACACCGACTTTTTGTCCATACTTTTCCCTTTCGTGCAGAAGTTAAGGATATTCACTTGCCCAGGAACCAGCATTTTGCTTATTCACTACACTATTTAAAGGGAAATATGTCTCGTCAGGAAACCACTTGTTGTAAAGAACGTGATCCACTTGCACTAATCATGAAGCGAACTGATGTGTTTGTTGCTTACCCACTGTTGTCAGTTTATGAACAAATGTTATCTTGTAAGGGAACATCTGCAGGTCAGAATGCAGAAACCTTTGTATGAACTGACGAGCTATTTCTAACTCAGCAGCCGTCCTCCTTGTTGATTTGCTAGGACATAGTGTCAAAGCAACGCAAACTGCTTTCATGTTTTCAGGGGTGAGGACACTTGGTCTGCACCGTCGATTCATCTCCACCACAGAGCCAGTTGTTACAAACTGAAGATACAATCTCTGAATAATCTGTTAACATGAAGCTCATTTTGTACGAAAGTGTGTGCGGAAATGTTAGTGTCGCTACAAAACCCTGTTTCTGTAAAATCATTACAACTTTCACCTTCTGTTCAACACTCAATCTACTTTTATATGTCAGCTTGAAAATTATTTTTGGCACCGAGAAAATATTCCATACAAACCGCTCGTGATATCTACTGGATTTTCCATAAACCAAAAGCTTTGAATACGAGTTTTTAACAATATATCTATAATAATACATGTGTAATAAACAAAACAAATATATATATATATATATATATGTATAGCTTGCAGGAGAAATGTAGAGAACGGCAAAAGCCGTTGTAGTCACTTTTTGTTGGATTCACCAAGGCATTTGATACGATGAACCGCGAGGCATTGTGATTGGTGTTGGTTAAGTTTGGTTGTCCGAGTAAGTTTGTAATTTCATTTGAATGTCTGCACAGTTGTATGCGGGTGAGGGTGCAGCTGAGTGGAGAGACTTCGGATGACTTGCAATTATCTCTGGTGTAAAGTAAGGCTGTGTCTTAGTTCCTGCCCTGTTTAATGTTTGTTTTCATGTTATGAGGTCTTGTGCTTTTGAGGTGGCTTGTGCTTACGGTGTTCGTGTGGAGCACCGTATTGATGGTGGGTTGCTGAACACCCGTCGTTTCGGTGCGACAATCCTAATCTATGAGACAACTATCCGTATGTTGCTATTCGCTGACGACTGTGCGTTCTTTGAACACAGCAAGTATGAGTTGCAGCACATGAGTAGTGTTTGGCTTCGACAGCAGACAAAATCGGGCTCACCATCAACACAAGCAAAACAGTTTATCCCTTTCAGCCATCACCGGAGCTGCAATGGTGCCGCAAATCAGCATTGGAGATGGCGTATTGGAAACCACCTCCCACATCTGCTACCATGGGAATATGATTTCGACTGACAAGAAACTACACACTGAGTTTCGTATTCGCGTATCGAAGGTAACGGTGGCGTTCGGGAAGCTTGAGTACCGAGTGTGGAACAACCATCAACTTACCATTGGTACGAAGCTGATCGTTTACAAATCCATGGTGCTGTCCGTTCTTCTATACGGCAGCGAAACGTGGGCGATGTACCGGCGGGATGTGCGATATCTCGAGCAGTTCCATCGACAGTGTTCGCGACGGATTTTGCGCATCGGTTCGGGCGACAGAGTTGCGGACAAGGAAGTGTTACGTCGATGTGGAATGGATGCAGTGGGCTAGATACTTTCGCTGAGACACTTGTGGTGGCTCGGTCATGTGAGCCGTATAGATTCGATGCGGACACCGAAGCAAATGTCATATGGTCAGTTGAGTGTGGGGAAATGATGGGGGAAGCCGAAGCTTCGTTACCAGGACATGATCAAAGTGAGTCTATAACCTTCTAATGTTGACTGCAGGTAATGGGAATCGAAAGCGCTTGATCGGCGTGCATGGAGCGATCTGATCACGAAGGCTGTTTCCGATGTGCAAGAGAAATCCCTCGTGCATGCAGAGAAGAAGTGGCAATTGCGGAAGCGGCAGACGTCGATGGATTGTACTCCATCGACATCGAGCGCATGGTACTGTAGCACTTGCGGTCGCGAGTGCCTGAGTCAGGCAGGCCTAGTGAGCCATGAGCTATACCACTCGGGACGTGCATCGAAACGACGAGGTGTCCTGCTGAGAACGTAGGCAGAACCGGCGCAACGTTTGTAGGTACGTTGCATTCGATTTACGAACCACGTGCTTGCATGCTGAGTCTCTTTATTTCAAGTGGTGGGTTTTGTACTAATGATATTTTATCTCATACAAATATCTACCTGAACTACCTTCTATAGACTTGCACACGTTCCTTAAAATCCTTTAGGCAACTTCGATAACATTTTCGCGTTTGTGACATTTTCTTAAAATACATTTGCTGACGTCTTGAAAGTAACGCGGATTGGTTCGTAACCAATTTATTTCATATCCTAATTTATTGAAGAGTTTTGTCGCCGGATCTGCACGCATTATTCGATTTATTTTATTTGATATCGTCGTTTCGAGTGACTGGCTGTTGTTTGACATCCCAGGTGTGGCTGCACTTGATGTGCATGTTGATAAGGTATCTACCTGTCTATTACCCGCTACCTCGTCCATAATGGCTCCAGGAGACAGATGGTGGTTGCTGGAGGGGACGGGGTGCACGGTTCTTGTGGCCGTGCTAAGATCAAAGAGTGGTTCCATGCACTCAGTGTGCAGCGGACTACGGTCCAGCCACCGCCTTGTGTGCACTTGATTCCCCAAATACAGCGTGCTTGTGTTTGCCTGTGAAGGAGTGTGGGCCGGCTCCGTTGATGAAACTTGGCTCCCATCCACATGCCTCCCGGTCTTATTCCTTCGGGATTACACTGAATATGGTGTGTGTGGTTGGAGCGGTGGGTGGTGCAGCGCAAGCCACCCATGGTCCCTCTGTAGGCGCAGGCGTCCTGTGGCTGGTCACAGTGACAGGCAAATCCGAAACCGGATGTCCCCAACCCTATATATATATATATATATATATATATATATATATATATGGGGGGGAATCAATTTCTCATGGAGTGATACTCGCCTCACCTCATTCAAACATCCCGACAAACTCGAAGAAGGGAGGAGGAGTGGAACTCGCACATCGCCGAAGTCAAGTCCAAATCATGTTCAGAATGTACTTTATGCAACCCTAAACGGCGAATATCCGGCATCCCACAGTAATAGCAGTAGGATCTGTTGTAGGGCCCTTCATGGTCAAAAACAGAAGAGGCGCTAAAGAATCCGATTAATCCCTTTCATATAGCAGCGCCGCTATTAAAAGTCACGTAAGTGCAGTCTTTAGGACGAAAGTCCAATAATGACCGGTCGATTTGAACTTCTTTAGTGGACAGTGTCAATGGTGATTTGGGACACAGAAAGTCTATACGGTGTATCGCGAAGGCAATATAAGCACGATCGTGTAAACAAGCAGCGTTGCCAGTAGAAAGCGTAATCGTTGCAGGTAAGGGAGTCGCTGAGCTGAGTTCGGAGCAGTGCAAGCAATACTTACCGCAGTTCACTAATTCGTCCATGAAATCTGGACAATCATACACCCCATCACACAACTTGTCCACTGAAATACACTGACGTGGGATCATCGTCGATACGGGATTGCACGGAACCGTAAACTCAGGACAAGCGGCCAACGCACCGCCTGATTCAGTTGATGTCCCGGAGTAGGGAAGGCAGTTCGAAGCGGTCGACGGTCCAATGAGCTCATCTTCACCCATGGGACAATCGGCTTTGTGGTCACAAACCCAGTCCTTTGGGATTGGTGATCCACCTTGGCAAATGAAGTCATCTTGACCTTTGCGGGATGCTGCAAAGACATGTGGAAATATCATCCGGTAGATAGCCTTCAGATAGTAGAGTAGATGGTGGGACATTGAAAGGAAACTAGAGGCAAGACAGTAGCCCAGTAGTAGCTTGTTTCAAGCCAAAATGGCACGGTTATTCCAGGTTTTCACGAACACAAAATAACTGCAGACTTAACAAAGGTATGTGTGTAGACCACCAGTTAGGTTAGGCCGCACACACACATGATGTACAACAAATGCACTTGCAATGATAGATGGAAGTTGATGATGAAAACAACAAATTCTTCTCAGAGTGAAGTATTAAGCATAGAGCCACTCGGATGCAAGGGAAATGCATGGGGGATCAGACACTGGCGGGAAGAAATACAGGACAGGATAGGACAGGATCTAGGGACGAAACAAGCTTCCGCTTAACGAGCGTCCCGTTTCGTGTGCCAGTAAGCGAAAAAGAGCCCCCAGCACTGCGACTGAATAGAATATTCTTGATTCTATAGTGGTGAGAAAACAGAAGTAAGTGCAAGACGAACAGCAAACTACCATGAAATAATGAGATTAGGGGCAGTCACTGAAGCTTAACGAAATTTGGGAAACAGGATCAGCCAATGTTCGTCTAGGCAACGTTTAAATTCCTCCACAGTTTCGGATGCGAATACAGCGAAATGAAGTTTATTCCAAACAGGCACAACCCGGTTTGCAAAGTACCTGGCTCTTAGCTCCAACCTAGATTTATGATGCTTCAATTTCATACAATGGCCCCGCAAGTTGTCTGACGTAGCTGGTTCAAACAGATCGGTTGGCCTGAGACCACTGAGATCGTTTATGATTTTGAATGTCTCTATTAAGTCACCTCTTAATCTGCGTCTTCTCATTGAGAACAAACCCAAGTTAGCTAACCGATCTTCGTATGGTAACCCGCGTTGGCCTTCTGTCATTCGTGTGGTCAGTGTTTGCACATTCTCAATACAAATAATATCTTCCTGCAGGTAGGATGTCCATGCCTGAACACAGAATTCCAGATGTGGTCTGACCACAGCTTTAAACAATGGAAGAAAGACCTCTGGCTTGGTACAACTCAGAGTTCACCTGAGACGAAATAATTCCTGTCGCGCTTTATTAGACGTATGCCTGCACTGCGTCGAGGGCTTAAAGTCACTTGTCACGATGAAATCTAGATCACGTTCCTCGGTGATATGCTGCAGTGTTAGGGACCCATTAAATGTATGCACCACAAACTCTTCATCACGCGGGGTTAGGATTTGACATTTGCTGGTGTTCTGTGGTAAGTCCCACAAATGTGACCAATTAAGAACGGTAGCAAAATCTTTAGATAACGAAGCCCTGTCTTCCCTGCTGACCAGCTTCAAGTCGTCAGCAAACATATAGGAGGGGTCTTCAAGTAGAGGGACCGAGTCATCTATAAACATGAGAAATAGCAACGGACCGAGTACTGATCCCTGGAGAACTCCACTGTGAGCAGTGCCTGCCGTCGAAATAACGTCACCAACCCTGACACGAAACGTCCTACCATAAAGGAATGCTGACAGCCATGAAAGCAGTTGAGGTATGATTCCAAACCAGGACAATTTTTTTTAACAAGAAAAGGTGCTTCACCGAATCAAAAGCTTTACTGAAGTCAAGGTAATATGCTTCTACTTGTATGCCATCATCGAGACATCGAGTTATTTCATCAAGGAAACACAGCAGATATGATTTTTCTTGACGAAGCCATGCTGTTCTGCTCCGTACAAGTTATTAGCAGCAAGATCTTTGCAGATTCGATTCCTAATGATCTTCTCTAGACACTTGAGAAGAACGCTAGTCAGACTAACAGGCAGGTAATTATTGTGAATTGATTGCAGAAACTGGGTGGCGCTCTCACAACAATAAGACAAATACCGGTAAATGAGTGAATGCAAAGATCAGTTGCTAGCCATCGACCCGAAGTTAATGTGTGCCGCTTCATGCTAGACGGTAGAGATGAAGTCGAGATCAGCCGTGGATTATAATTCTAAAAGAAAATACCACGTCCAGCGAATAAATACATATTAGTGGGATCCTACCTCGGTGTATAACGAGGTCCGAAACACAATTGTGCCCCGCCGCTAACCAGTGAGAACTTCTATCCAGGGTACGGCGCGGATCAGTAGATTTCATTTAGATGGTGGATTGTATAGCATCCAATATGTGGTTAGACTGCGACACGTAGTATTTCTTTGAATTCCCGTACATTTTAAATTCAACCTTTGGCATTCCTTAGACTGTTTCAGTTGAGAAATAATACCCCGAGAAAACAATAGAAGTAGAAAGTAGCGAACAAGGTTGTTTTCAGTGAATCACCATCAGGCTAGTACAATCACAACTATGTGGGTCAAAAATGAACACATGAGTTATAGGTGTCAATAAATCAAAATCCCTCATCAATAAGGCTACGTGATTAGCCCGACTTGTGCAGAGCCGGGTGGAATGGCGTGATAAGTTTGCTTCCTTGTGTTAGTCTCTGTGGCCAGAGTACACATATGGTCTGCACAAAATTCTTCTGTGCACACAACTCCGGGTTGTGGAGCCGAATTGCGATTGCTTTCGCTGTCGACAGCAGACGGCATCTGACAACTCGTGTATGGCGTCCTGGTACACAGTAAATCGGGTGGAATGAATCATTTGAGTTTATTTTGTGGTTGAAATCCACTAAATGAGTCAACATTGCACTCGTCACATGCTTTGGTATTCGCTTCAATCAGACTGTATTCAAAGTAACAGCATTTTTATTGTTTCGATGCTGTTGTCAGCCACCAATGCACCCCACGGCGCGTTTCGTCCTGGTTTGCACTCTTCTGGTATAGATAGTCGGAGCTCAGACTGGAACCCGATACATAGTGAATGACGGCTTACGCCTTAGGCACTAGGCTAGAGCTCTGTGATCAGCAGTCAGAATTTCATTGTTGGGTCTAGAGTGCGACGCGCAATCACTAGGGCAATCTAAGGTGGGGTTTGGGTAGTTTGCTTTGACCCATACCAGGGTGGTCCATGAGAAGTATTCGGTTGGAACCTACGCAGTTAGAAGAGTGCGAAAATTTAATTGATGCAGCCGCTTTGAAGGCGAAGTCCAGCCTGTTCTTCTCCATGTTGCGATTCGCGCGTTGACGATATCCTGCGAAGCATGGTAGACACCCAATGTCTGTAAACAACGGTGATCAAACTTTTACCCCTGTAGTTAGAGCATATTGTACGTAAGCCATTTTTGGGGATGGAGATGAAGATCGACCCACTCCAAAACGATGGAACCTCCACTTTTGACCGGACTTTTGAGAACAAAGCGGTGTTCTCGAATCAGCAAATATACATCATCTTTAAATAGAGAGGGAGGTAGACCATCAGGGTCGAGTGCTTTATAACGTCTAATGAGGCCGCGTTTCTGTCTGGTTTCCCAGTGAGATGGAGGATGTGGGAGAATAGATTATTCAGCGCCAATACACGTGCCAGTGAGAGCAGATGGAGGTACGGGCAGCAAAACTGCGATCCAAAATGTTCACCCCATCACTCCAACCGTCGTTAAAGATCAGTTACTAAGGAGCCATTCGCTTTGCAGACTACTTCATTTACACCAGGCCGGATACTTTCGGTGACTCGGAGGAGATGGAAAAGTTCTCCGGTATTACCAGGGAGACTAGCGAGGTCTATCTCTCTAGCAAGTTCACAACACTAAGCTTCACGGTCCATTTGCAGACTCCTGTGTAACTTTCGACTCAGTGAGCCGCGTTCTTCCCTAGAGCTGCATTCGACCTGGACCGAGCAGCGTATGTCCACTAGCAACAAGGAGATAACGGAGATCCAATACTTCGGCGGGGAGCGGACAACCCCAAATGTCAATGCTGGCAGAAACTAAGGCATCATTGCTGTTCGGCCATGGTGTACTAAGGTCATCTTCAGAAGCTGAGCTAAGCGGCCTTGATAGTAAGGCGTGGTACTTGGTTAACGTTGTCAGCGTTTGTAGATTTCCGATGTTCGATCGGTAGTGCGCACGTCTGGGCGATCCTCCAAAAACGCAGGCAAAACATTAACATAAACTACTGCATGACCAGACAAGTCAAGCAGTACGCCCGCCAGCCTGTTGCACTTTCGCGCCATTTGTAACATTGCGATATGGTCAAATCTTGATGTATATTTTTAATCCAAAATCTAGTGTGATCAACACACGGTGAAGAAACGTTTCTGAAGGCGAAAAAATTAGCACATTATACTCTGAAATAAAAATACTTCCAGTACCCTGCACTTTAACGTACAAATTCGTGACTGCTTGTACTCTTACTCACTGGCTGTGCCGCTCCCCTATCATTTTTTCCGGTCTGCTATAAGAAAAATTTGCACCGATTGCGTGTAGCACTAGACTTGTCATACTAAGTATAGTGGAATGCCTAGAGAGTCTCTGACTGACTTCATCGTTATCGAGCAATTTGGTAAATGGGACAACTTTTTATTAAAGGTTTTAAATGATTTTCTTTTACCTCTTGCGCAACGACCTGTCGAAGGCTATTTCGTGTTCGTCTACGGGCACCAAATTTTGGATTTGTTAAGCATAGCGTCTTATGATAAGAATATCTTGCCAAATCCGCAGTGCCAAAGTAAAATGCAAGAAAATATTATCCGTCGGGTGTGCAAAGCCTATTTTGACTTGACTTGAGCGGCCATCAAGCAAGCTGTTGCAATTTGTTTGGGAAATTATCTATCAGTATATTACAACGACGAATAACTGCAAAAGATTTCTCTCTGCAAAGGTGACTGAGATCATGGAAACGGTGCAGAATGCCCCCCTAAAGTGACCAAATATGGTGATCCGATGGGTGCAACCATATTACACCCCGAAGTGTAGAGCGAAACAAAAAGGTACCATCACTGAGTTAAGCACCAGGTTATTGGAAGAGAATACCAGCCTTGTCACTTAGCCAATGGTACCTTGCATTGGAACTTTCAAAAGCTGTGAAAGCTTGCATGGTTCATAGTAACTTAAAAAGTGAACACACCGCTAGCTAAGCACAAATACAGTCTGTCAGTGTTCGTGAGTGAACAATGGCAAAAGCTCTCCGGTCCATACATTTCTTCGCCATCAGGTTCAGAATGGGACCACAGACCGCAAAAAAACCAGAATGCAAGTGATTCGGGCAAAAAGATGACTGCAAAGTCGTTTGTTGGCATTCTAAATCATGAGCCCGAGAACGCACGAATGAATTTTGGAGTTTCGATGAAAAGCGAGCTCGCAACTGAATCTGATTTGTTAACAATACTACTGAATTAATGGCTCGGTGAGGAAAAGTGATCGTGCGAAGTCTTGATGGCCTATAAAGTACCGGGGTACAAAAAAGCTCAAATTGCTGTGCATTTATTTGCTTTCTTCGACTGCAAAATCACAGTTGGTATTGCTCATTTATATTACTAGCAATCAAGGCGTTTTTCCTTATCGAGCTTTTTACTTGAAAGTTAATGGACTGAACTTTCCCGTTATTATCATAAAACTTCGCTGTGCTTAATTCAGTTCAGAATCAAGCTAGGACCATAACTGCCAGAGGAGTCGGTAAAGACCGCGTATGAATTAATTGTGTCCTTTGATTGTATTAAAACTGAAGTTAAACATTTTTACTTCAACCTGATCAAAAAAACAAAACAAATATAAGATGAGTTATGATGAGTGGGATGTGTGGAAGATCAATTATTGTACATTAAAACAACCTGAGAATTGATATGAGTGACCCTAAATGCTTAAAAATGGGGACTCAGTGACCAAAGCTTAGATAGAATGCGCTCAAGTGATCCGAGTTTTGTTATAGCCGACGTCCACCTTATAGTATAGGAACACAACGCTCGCTTTTATCGATTGTCTAGAAAGCGATGACGGGAAAAGCACGGAAGCGTTTTATTTTGCAATCCCATTATTGTTGCATATCAAATACGAGAGCTATATACCTGTTGATACTAAGCTAGAAAAGCGACTCAGGCTAGTTTGAAGTGAGCTTAAATAAGATTCAGTGGAATTTTAGCGTAAGAGAAAAGGTTAAACATGTGACTATTTGCAACTAGATCACCTCCTCTATAGATAAAAAAGAAGCCAAAAGCTGCTTACCCAGAGGCAAGTGATTATGTTGTTTGTTCCCGGGGCAACCATATTCGTCAGAACCATCTTGACAATCTTGATGAGAGTCACATAGATACATTTCATGTATACATTGCTGTCCATCACGACAGCGAAACTCGGCACCCGAGCAACGAATAGGATGGGTTTTAACCGTCCGAGCCATTTCGCAGACCTTCAACCAAAACGAAGATATCATTTAAAAGATACATTAAACCTACCTCCTCTGCTTGATCAGAATGGTCTTCACAGAGTGTAAGGTTAGAACAAGGCTGCGCTACACACTGATCCATTGTAACCCTACAGAGAAACTTCCCAGGGCACTTTTCTATCACTAATGATATTTAGGCCGCTGGGTTGTTGTTAAGCTAAACCTACAGCAAAGGGTGGGATCTTCATCTTCCCCGAGCGAACAATCAACTGCACCGTTACAAAGCCTTGATCTGGCAATACAAAGACCATCAGTGCATTTGATGTGTTCTGGTGGACAAGGAGCTAAGGAACAAATACCGTCATTAAAAATGAACCAATACCGCAGTTTGATTCATCAGTTCTGTCAGAACAATCAAACGTTCCGTCACACTGACGAAGAAGATCGATACATCGACTGCCATCACAGGAGAAGCCATTCACACACCGGACTAGCAAAGAAATCTGGGTAATCCGAATGGCAGAGCATGGCACTCACGTTGGTAGACAGAAAGAACGCTTCTGCTTTGGCGTATGACGAGTTATAAAAGCTTTAAACTCACCCAATTCTGTTAATTAGTGGCAACAAAAACAGTACAGTAAGAAACGTAGAATGCATGAGTGGCTGAGCCTGAGAAGCACAAAGTAGGAGGGAAAAGCAAAATAATAGAAGTGATAGTTTTGTAAAAAGCAAAAATCGACGACCAGTGAAATACCGAGAGTTATGTCACTCCCGTTCCTTGTGTGAGGCTGGAGACCAGCTAAGGAACAGAAGTATTTAAATCGGAAAAAGGAGAAAAAGCAGAGAAGTCTTGTAGACGTCTGAATGCAAGCCTGAGTGAACCAAACAGTAATAAATTTTGCACATTGTCAAGGAAAACACACGAGGTGTAGTGAGAAGTACGGGTATGGAAGATGAATATAGGATCAATACGAAACCATAAAAGTGAAGTTGGACTGTTAGTAGGATGGAACATATAGCTGGAACTTTTTCATAATGCAATATACTAAGTCCCTGATATAGGTTAGAAAAGTTAATGAGACAGTTTTTCTCCCAACAACTTACATGGATATCACCACAGACATTTTGCTATTGGATTGATGCAGCAAGTTAACAATATAAAAGTCTACTCACCTTGCTACGTACCAGATTCTATGCATACCCAAAAAAGCCACATACTAGAGAAAGAAATCTAAACCGAAATTTTTGAAGGATTCCATGGATCTCGATTGAATGAATTTGATTAAAAGCTTGTAGGGAATCAGGGATACAAGGCGGTCATGTCATACATGTTTAGTAACATCTAAGGACAAACAAAGCTTGGAGAAGCCATCACTCGGCTGGAGACAGAGAAGTATAGTGCAGGAAGGATAGTGTTCTGGAACCACGTTAATTTACAAGCAATGCCGTTAAGCAAGTAAACCAACCTAGTCGAATGCAACCCGGATGTTCAGAAACGCAATGAAAGCAGGACTCTGATAAAGATGGTGGTGTTTGGGCAATTGCTGGTAGGTAATGATTTGATCCAACTACATACAATCGGCCGGTATCTAAACCAACTTGCTTTTCACGGTAGCGCAAGAAATGAATTGGGGATGATCTACGGAGTAGAATGGAAGATAACAATTTAGAAGCGATAAAAAGGGGGCTGGTTATTCGAGCTTTGATACATAAAGTTAAATCAGTAAATAACTGATTCACCTTGGAGAAATAGTGCTTTTACTCCATATGCAATTTTGGAAAAAAACGAGAACAGTTGGTTGTAAATTCTTTGAACAGCACCTGAATAGCTTCGAAGTACACTTACGTCAATAACCAGGGGTCTGTTCAGTTATCTGATCACAAGACAGGCTACACATTGCTGAGTGGGCTCAGTGAAACGATTAGTGGCGGGCAAGTAGACCTACTGAGCACACAAGTTCAATGAGGATCAATTGAAATGGGAATGAAAGCCCTCAACTCATTGTTCCAGACTCCGCTGTATGCTAGACTCAGTGACCCATCTGATCCGCACATTTTCTCACACACCAGGATTCTTGTAGCCTATGGAAGGAAAGAGTTAGAAGAGTTTTCTAATAATACCAAATAGAGCAGTGCTCTCCATCCCTTAAGCACACTGAAACAGCCAAGCTTCGTGATCACGCAGTGGCTATGTTTGAGCTTCCGGCTGATGGAACTGTACACTTGGTTGTTAACCGGCTCCACAGAGATATTTCTGCAGATCTTCTACAGATCTTCGCGTGGTACCTAGCAAGGTCGCAGATTAGTTGCAACGTAGAAATAATCGTCTTCCTCTTGGAAGCACAGTGTTGGCTGATGTTCTAAAATGGACCGGCAATGACTATGTTTAAGTGAAAATTTCTAGTTCAGGCGCATGGTAATTCAGCTAGCTTTTTGTATCAAGTTTGCATAAATTTTTGCTTTGGAACCTCCAAAAACGCAAGTAGATGTCTGTGATTAGAGATGAATGACCCGAATGCAAGAACATGGACCAGAATGATATGCCATCCTCTACGCTTCTCTGCCGCTACAATACTAGCGCTCTGAAATCGGGTCCCAGAAGGTTCAGAAAGATCAATAGCAGGGAAGTTTAGAGAACGAACTAAACCGTTCCGCTGCCAACGTTTCATCACCATCCGTACGTTGAAGCATATCAGACGGAACAAAGCTCGGGTCCGAAGAAGTGTACTGGTCAAACATTATGAACACCAGAAAAATACAGTATTGGCGACATACCCGCGGAAATCAGGATCAGGTACTGGATAACAGAACTTATTGGAAAACAGGCGCTTAGCGCGCAATGATTGTCCACGAATTGGAAAAACAGAGGCTCTTGAACATGATGTAGAAGTAGTACCATCTATGATTGCCTCATAAGGCAACATACTACCGGGCTGCTCGATGTAAAGTAGAACGCCAACTAAAAGGGCACCGTCCATAGCATTTGACTAACTTCTCTATCCGCAAAGCAGCCGAACCAATTCAGAGAGCTGTGCTCATCGGGAGCCGGTAAATTAGTATCGGTACATTCGCTTTTGATGGGATGAATTATAAAACAGTGATTCAATTCTATCCAAGATGTCAGGAGAGATGTGCTGAAAAATACTGCTCCGCAGGAGGGAAGCGCATTGCCTACATTAGTGTTCCAGAAGCATGCGCTCTGTATATTGTGTTAGCACATAGTATTAGCACGCACCACAGCGCGTCATCTTGTAAAGTACTTACCTACCCCGTTCTAGTTGTAATGTTGCTAAATACACCTACCTACAATCTAAATTTAAGGCTAAATAATCATTATAGTGCTGGATTGAGTATGGCAAAAACCAACAAGAAACTTTACGGGTTAAGGTAGAACAATTTTTACTTTTAGGCTAGAAGAACAAACTATATAGTTCTTTACCTACTCAGATCAAATATCGTGAAGTTTAACCACACAAACGGAAGTATTCTGAGTGGAATCAGCATGAAAATGCCTTTAGATATAATAAAAGTGGTGTGGTACTAAATATGCATAATAATCCGGTACCGTCCACCGGAAACCAACATAGACCGGTCAATATCTACACTTTGCCAGTTTCACACCGATGGGTCACAAGCGTGCATTGATGAATACCTTGTTTTATCGTGCCAGACGTATCCGCTCCAGCGATTGCCTGACTGAGGAGATAAAGCCAACAACCAGCACGCTCATGCAGAACGGTTATCCCAAACGCTTCATCGAGAAGCATAGCCAGGTCGACGACCGAAAGAAAGGGTATTGACGGCACCTAAGAAAAAGGTGCGCCTCTAGCTCCCATTAAGGACAACGCTGCCAGCACGAGGAAAACCAAGCGCTCAATCACTGCCATTCAGAGCCAAAACTGCACTGCAAATGCCGCGGCGATCAAAAAAACCCCGGAAACTGTCGCTAGCTTCAGTAAAGGAAGATGAACCCATCAGTGTCAAATCCCAAGGTGTTAATTATGCTGAGTGCAACCGCGGCGTCAGTTGCATAGGCAGGACTGAGCTGGTTTTGAATTCCAGAGTGAAGGAACACTTGCCCAACTGCGTTCAGCGTGAGGCCAGCCATCCAACACTCAATATTCCGTGTGCACGCAAGCCACCAGCATCATCAATAGGCAGACATGTGTTGTTGATCCGTCATCAGATCGACAACGGTTCCGCGTTCCAGATATTATTAAATCATCCCAGCCTACGCTTCGCGCGGTTTTCCGTGGTAGCTGTGTGTGAAGAAACAACCAGTGGTTCACCTTCGGTTGTCATGGTCCTAGGAGCATCGTCGCCGTTCATCTCACTGCATTTGATAAGATGGTAGCAACTATTGAACGGTATAAGACAAGTTATCGTTATCGTTTTGGTACTGATGGGACAATACGAAATGCGCGCATTTGTCAGATTTCGTTTTATCACGGTGTTATTAAAACTATTAAAGGGAACTAACTGTGTCGAATCTTTAACACTGTTTATTCATGATAGTTAACATAATAAACGGGAATAAAAGCAATAGAGAATCAAACATAGCCTTCATGGTTTCTGGGAATTGCCGCCTCGCGCAGCACATCGGCTTATTATCAAAATATTTTTCTAAAAATCTCCGTTGGCCTACAAAAAATCCGGAAATGAGGTCCTTACAAACAGTAACGTATCTAACTTGCCCATACTGTCATCAGTTAGTTGACAAGCAAAGTTGCTGACGAACGAACTGACTCTTGAGGGTGCAAGCTTACTTGTAAATGGTGGTATCGCACATATCCGCAAACATATTGCTGTGCAAAACCACAAATAGGTATTTGGCCTCCTAGGTTGTTGATATTCGCTTTGGCATATGAACTGACGTAAAGATTTGTCAAAGTTGGATTACGAAGTTGCAGCCGCATCGAAATTAGAAATCAAGCCGCCCATGAATCATAAAGAAGCCTAGGTAATGCACAGTACCTTTTGAATACTGACGGCTTCCAGACCGAAAATTGCCATGTAGTCTACACAACTAATGAGTAGCTTGTACAAATTACTGTATAAATGTTCGCGTTACCTAAGTCAGTTTTGTATTTGTATAATGAGAAATTGCTTACAGTGCTTCTACGTCCATCTAAATGTGTGCAGTGAAAAGAAACTTGGAAATAGAAAGTCAAGTTAAAAGTAATTGATTATAATTAGTTAAAAATAATATATATAATCAGTACTATTGCATGCTCTACTAAAGGGAGCTTAGGAGGAGAAAATAAAAGGCTATCCATGTAAGTAAAAATAACTGTGACATAGTCTATCCTTGGCCTAGGTGGGACGACACCAGTTCTAAATATTTCGATTGCATACTAGTGTAAGGCTTTTAATAACGAATTTTATTTCATTTTCAAGGTAGGCACTTAAAAAATCACGTAACTACTAAACAATTTATTTGCTTTTCGAGCCTTCCCGCGTTGTCGTTGGACAGTGAGATTAGCGCTAGAATTAATACCAACCAACATTAAGCAGTGAAATTTTGAAAATACCTACGCTGTATCATGTGCAGGTTGTTGGAGTTCCCGATAATCTAGTAGGTCTGTGTGTTCCAATAGAGAGTTTTAGAATAGAGTGCGATCTTGTCTGAAGAAGACATATAAGGGCCCCACAAAAGA